AAAGTGTTTAGCCAAAAAATGTCACTTCCTTATTGTACTACTACTGCAGTTTATCAACACCTAATCTATATTCAAATGTCTAATAGATCTATTTCAGAAACTTGTGCACATAATTATCATCTTGAGTCAAACCATTACTAGGATCTGTAAAGCTCTGCTATGTATTTCATAACTCATATTCATCTATCTTCAAATCCGTTCCACTTAAAAAACAATGTTAACCTCTTTAACAGTGCGTGGAACCTTGGGTGTCCGAATATGTAACAATCACTCCTTCCTTTATCAAGGATTCTAAAAACAGAAGTCATTTCATCAATGGTTTGTAGCTAAATTTAGGAATTATCACTTATGGTAGGTATGTTTTTACTCTTTAACATCTCTAAATGTCAGTTAATTACTAACTAAATTAATGTCCATTAGGAGGTGGTGACGCTAGTCTTCCAAACTCATAATCTGGTGCCGTGCGCTTCCTCTGAAGCTGCATAAGATTTTAAAAACCACTGCAGGGTGGGTCGAGTGACCCCTCCTTCCTATTGGTCGTCAATAATATGCACCATTACAATGGGTGATTGAAGGCGTCACATTATGTCCAATTACAGCATCAGTCTTCTTTACTCTAAAATTACTTTTTAAATAGGAATATTTAGAAATGGAACAAATATTCAATCTTCAGAAAAGTTCTTAACCAACATAGTGAATAGCCAACATATTTGAAAATGTCAGATGTATAAAAATAAGCCTAAATACTCCCTTACCATCAAAGTCCAAATCTAGACATAAGGTGAACAGTTTTGGTAATGGACAACTTAACCTAAAAACAAAACAAAATTGGACTTGTGTCCTTGTTATTTGTTCTTCAAAATACATTAGCAAATACCTTGTGAAGTATTCGCAACATAACTAACCCTCTCTAGGATATGAAATCCATTCATCTTTTTACTCATAGTTAGTTTATATGTCAAGATTATTAGGTGTGACCTAATAATCAGATGTGTTGTTTGCTAAACAAGGATATTAAACTTTAATCTTTTCAGAATTCCAGACCATCGTTTAAACAATCAGCCTCCCTTCTTAAACACTAAACCTATTGTTGTACACCACCCTCTGGAAAACTCTTGCACAGTTATGCTGTAAAATCATCGCATCATTTCTTCAGAGTCTGAACGATCTGAGACAAGCCCGGTCATAATGTGAACAGTCAGTGATGCGTTGTCTTCTGCAGCTGTAGTGAATTGGATCAATGAAACTCTTGTTTTGCTCTGGGATGTCCTGAGGGGGAAGGAACCTCTGGATCAATGTGGTACAATCAGCAGACACACGTTGTCCTCTGCACAGCAGGAATCCCCAAAAACTGCAGTTCCTCTTCACACCACTGTTGCCTCGGCAACAAGGCCCAAGCAAAATGTCAAACCCTCCTCAGAGATGCGTTCTTTGCACAGTTCTTCTGTTTCTGTAGTGAGCAACTCTTCACCAACACACTGATTCAGAGTACAACCCAAAGGTGACGCACAACTATCCAGTGCTGCTATAATCACAGCAAATCAGCCACTGGAGAAAAACTCAATTTAAATCTCTCCCCCAAAGGGTTACAAAATAAAACGGCTGAGTGTCCATATGGTCAGGAATGCTGAAACATGTGAATGTTAAAACAAACCAATGGCAGTAGTCTACCCAGATTATTTACTCCATTAAAAGTAGTAAAACCACATCGTAAAATATCTTGTCTAGTTGAAGTCCTGCTTCTAAAATTCTAGTCAGAAAAAAATAAAATAAACTTCATCTTTAAAAAATTTTTTTTAATTTGAAATCAAAAAAGGTCTTCCTTCTCCACCATGATCCTATTTCTACATCAAAGTCCAAACAAACTGATGATTTATCTTTAAAAACCATGAGAAATGACAGTTCTCATAAAACACTATTCTTCCTTACTTCAGTTCTAAATCAAATGAGCCAAACAGGAAACCCTCCTTAACCACTTGCTTATTCCATTATTTTTCAAATTGTTTATCTAAGTTGTGTTACAAGCAGGTTAGATTTGTAACAGAACACAAAACTAACTGTATTTAGCGCTATATTTGAAAAACAAGTAATCGTTACAGTAATTGATTACAGTTAATGAATATATATTTTGAACAGTTATTATTGGTGGAAAAGTTTCCTCACAAAATGTAATCTCCATTACTAAAGCTAAAACCTAAAGAAATCATCACGGAACAGTTTTTCTGTCCTTACCACTTAATTGTTTCAATACAAACTAAAAAGCGTTGTGAAAACTCCCACTCTTGAGAACATCTCAACACTTTATTCCATCCGAGCACAAATGTTTATGACAGACACGCCCTATTAATCCAAAACGGCCTTTAATGGTATCAATTGTGAACTTTCTTAATATGAATTGTAAATGCAACGTATGTTCTCTTTGGAACACAGATAGGACAGTAGCTGCTGAAACTGGTTAATAGCAGCTTTCTGTCAACCTAGATAAGCATGTTGTTCTTATATTTTTACTTCATGTTTACTCACAAAACAATATAACATTCTTCAGACTAGTAGTTAACTTTATATAAGTTTTACTCTCTCTGAACTATTCCAAAACATCTACTTCTCCTGTCTCTCTCTCTCTCTCTGTGCCCTGCAGCTGCTCCTGCACAAGCATCTCTCATCAATCACCTCTCTGTGTTTAGCCAACAGTGTGAGATGGCTTTTAGCCTCGTGCAGCACCTCTGTCATGTTTAAACATGAACAGATCCCTCCTGTTTACTTACTCTTTCTTCATAAACACAATTAATGTCTACTAATGATATTACAAAAACTACCTAATGACAAATAGCACAACATTCACAATGCAATGCAATAGTAACAATCAGTTCTCAAAACTTCTCATGAAAACCACAATGTGACGTAACTGCATCCCACAAAAACTATGCTAAAAACGACAAATTATAGTTTCTTATTTATTTAAATATCTACGACACATTGATCTATTAATTTTCAATGTTATTCACTCCAACTTCAGACCAGTCGTTGATTATTCACTCCTTGTTTTAAATTCAACGCTCAGCAGCCATTTTTGAGGCATTTTGAGAAGAAGCACAAGCAGTCACACTTCGGGCTGCTGCTTCAGCAATTAGAGGAAAGCTGTGAAGAAAAAGGGGGGCTTTCTTTAACCCCTGGTGACCACGCATTTCTTTATCTGACTTTTCTCCCTTATCTATTAGTAATTATTCACAGACAATTATTCCCCGTACAGTCTATCCAGCTTTATGGTGCGATGTTTATTTCAACAGATAACATAATCTCTTTATCGTCACGTTTGGCCAGATAGATTTAACCCCACAGAACAAGAGAACGAGATTCCGGTCCTTTCAAAATGGTTATTTGAAATTTGCGTATCTCCCCTTGGATTCACTTATAATGCAACTGCAGCTCCTATGAGACTGGAAAGCATTATTCAATTTAGTTCTGGATGGAATCATTAGAAACCACTGAACTCCCCCGACGAGTTAGCCGTATCGAGTTCTGAAAACAACGCACGGGGCCTTTCACCTTCTTCTTACAGTCCTCATCGCTTCACATGGAGCTAACGAGTTAGTCGTGCGATTCTGAAAAATCCACGAGGTTCCTAACCGTTGCTTTATTAATCTTATTATTCTTAGTTAGTTACCTACCTATGCTAACATATGCATTGCATTATCTTTAGCGTGAAGACTAGACACTGAGAAATATTCCTGACAACTCTAAAAAATTTGAATATAGCCAAATCACAGATTTTGAGTGTAACGGGTATCCGTGCTTACCTGATATTTTGTATAGAGCTCTGTTTTTAGTTGTCAGAAAGTATTTCGAGGTGTCACCCCTGGACAGCTTCGTCCGCTGGCTGCTGATGTGACTCCCTCTGAACGCCCACTCATAAACGTCTGGGTCACCACTTTGTTGGAGTTTTGAGGTTTTTACAACCCCACTCGGCTCCGCGTGTCGTTTTGACGAGTCCTGCTTAAAATCATAACAGGAAGGAAATCAGACAGAGAACACCCAGATACCAGTTTAAACAATCTGTTTTAATTATCAAAGGTAATAATGCAATGCACTATAATACATTACAACACCATATAATACAATATACTAAAATCATATTGTAATGTTTTAAGAAGTAGCCGGCCCACTTCTGCCCTGTTCACTTGCTGCGGAGATCCTTCTGTCCTGACAGCATGTGAAGAGAGGCCGAACTCAGGAATCGACAGAACATATACCAGAAGACAGAAGGAAGGGGTGAGGTCAGCTGGTCATCTTTTCAGGTCCCCTCATTGGCAGACGCAAAATATGCTTTGTCACAGTGACCCAGCGCTGGCCAGCAGAAAACCAAACGGGCCCATTTTACAACAAAACACATCTTATCACCCAAGTCATGTGTTTCTTTATGAAAGCCATACTTGTTGGGAATATAACAGTCATTATCCCATGACATCCTCAGAACTAGCTCACCAACAAGCCTAACTGTCTTCATACCCCCCCCAATCATCTCTGAACTTTTATTCACCCGAAGTAAGCTCACCCTTAGTCTAAAAGGACCATTGTCTCTCTTAACTGTGTGACTAAATTATCAAGGCCTGCAGGATGCGCATAATTAACTTAGAACGAATTTAGCCACTATATCTAATGGTTAACCAAGAAAAACACTCAAAAGGGTAATCTTTTCACTCAAAACAGAACTCACAAGTAATTCTGCATTTTACCCCTCAAAAATAGCCTAAAGCACCCTTTTGATGAAAAGGGTAAAAGTGAAAGAAAAAGACTATTGCGCTAATCTACTTTAAAGAAAAAGGGAACATTGTTTCAGGAATCTATAAAAAACCTCTCTATATTTAAGAGGAAAAATGTATTTTGTTCCTTCAACTATTAATACACAGGAATGTATATACCCACACATATATTTAGGGATAACATGATGCAATACACCTCTTATATATTGGTGAGATTAAAATGAATATACCAAAAATATGCTGCATCACATCTTCTGCATAATTCTCTTCATAAACTTCCGCAGTACATACATATGTTCATATATACACTTATTTCTAGTACTCTACTCACCTTTCTTAAGCTTCCCTTGTGGGTTCCCTTCCAGAGGGAAGTCATTAGGTAGGAGTCCACAATGAAGACCCCAGCTTTGGCCCCAACCCATTCACAATCTATGAATACACCAGTATCTTTTGAACCCATTTTCAGAATGATCAGTTTGCCTACTTACATTTTTCATATACAGTACGCTTACCTCTCCCTCCAACTCCTCTCCCGGGGCCAAGACCAACAGATTTTGACTGTATATTTTGTATGGGCCATACTTGGCCCACAGTGTCTCTTGTCTCCTCCCTGCCCATATGTCTCGGATTACTATAAAAAAATGCATGTTAGTTATGAATGAAATGCATACTTTAAGGTGTACTTTGTTTCAGTTTACTTACAAGTCTCTACATCAGAGGATGCTCCTCGTGTGGAGGTGGAGGTGGGTGTGGGTGTGGAGGGCAGTGGAGCAGCCAGAGGAGAAGGATCCAACACTTTTTGTAATTTAGCAGGGATCCTCTCCTCTGGCTGGACATAGTGTTTCAAATGATCAATGTTCACTCTCATTGTCTTCTTTCCTTTTTTTGTAGCAAGGTCCGCTACCTTCCCCTCAATGTTTAGGATCCTGAATGGTCCCAACATGTCTGCTTCTAGCTTTCCTCCTTCCCTCTGTTCCGACCTTTTGTTGCATTTTAAAACGAAATCCCCCACTTGAAAATTGTCCACTTGCCCACCTTCTTTCTTCTTGCAGATCTTATCCTGGCTTTTTGCTATGTTACCTTTCACCTCCGCGAAAACTGCCTCCTGTTTTTTGAGTCCCTCGAAGACTTCCTCCATTTGCACCAAGCTGCTGACTTTCTCTTCCGTTATCTGCCACAGAAAAGCGTTAGAATGTTGAGAAAACATAGATGTTTGAAATACTATGAATAATTAAAAAGGATGAGGACATTATCAGATCTTACTTCATACTCCTTGGGCACCTCTGACGGGTACCTCGCCTCCCTCCCAAACATCAGAAAATAAGGGCTGAACCTGGTGGTCAGCTGGGTTTTCGTTCTCAGACCAAACATCGTCCCTTGGAGGAGTTGGTCCCACCGTTTGGGCTCACCCTCCACCAGTTTGTTCAGGGACCTAAATTCAGGTAAAGTACAAACACAAGAAGGTAAAACAGAAATTGGTTTCTAATATATGATAAAGCAGCTGATTTATTGACTTTTGTTGTATTTTTAGCTATCAATTCTGATTAGTTAATATAGGAACAGTAATGTTTGTTATTCTATGAACAAATATACCTTTGTATTGTGCCATTTCGTTTTTCCACCAAACCATTTGTCTGTGGGTGTACGGCGAGCACAGGCTTCTTTTGATGGCCAGCTTCTCACAAAGGTTATAGTTGACCTTCAAGTGAACATTGAGACAAACAGGAAATAAGTTTGTTAGCACAGCACAGTTACATAATGGGGAGTCATAATTCTTCAAAGTAGTACCTTATTGCAAAATTCCCTGCCTTGATCTGTTAGTATGAAGGTAGATATGGTGCAAAATGCTAGAGCGTGAAAACCTGATGTGAGCACTTGTAGAAAAAAAATCTGAGTTTGTGTACATACATTTACACTTGTATAAAATATCCACGTAACTGTGAACCAAATGTACACTTGTATAAAATATCCACGTAACTGTGAACCAAATTTACACTTGTAAAAAATATCCACGTAACTGTGAACCAAATTTGAAGTCACAGAAGAAAAAAAAAAGTTGTGTAGCTTGTATAAAAAAAATGAACTTAGTTATGAAATGTTCACTTGCAGAAAGATACATATTTTTAAAATATATTTTCCATTACAACTGCAACTTTATTTATTACAACCTCTCAAATCAGTCATTACAACTTGACGAATCTGCTCTGTGGCAGTATAAATCGACGAATCTGCGGTCTTGACTTTTGCTACACTTCTTGTGATAAATGTGTCGCAAAAGTAATTTTCACCTGTAGATGTGGGGGGAGGGAGGGGGGTTGGAGCGAAGGGGCGGAGCTATCAGAACGACGAGGCTCGGGTGACTGGAGACTGCGGGGCTAACGGTTTGTGTCGCTACCAGTCCGCTGACATGGCGCATCAATCAACGGTACATTTTGCCCATTACTTGCCCAGTATTACTTTGAATATTATTATTGTGATTGAGGATTAAATCCGCTTTGAAGACCACCGTTTTATATCGTGCAGTTTAGCGGCAAAATAACGTCAGTCAGCCAGCTAACGCTAGCTTTGTTGAGTTTATGCTAGCTAAACAAGTAGTGGTTGTAGTCTACAGCAGTAATTAATATATTGTATAGCCTACTGCTTTGGCACTAACGGTTGATAACCGTTTCTGAAAATAAAACCAATTGAACTGCACTGAAATAATGACAAGTTTTATAATTGTCTTGGGCTCCTGCTGTGTTTTTAAAGCCTTTGTAAATTATCCATGCTATTTTCTATTTAGCTAACGTCGAAGTAGTGTATGGGAAATCAGCCTCACAATAAGATGTGTGTATATTACAATTATTGTCATATTTCAAGATGATTACTTAGATATTACAATATGGTTGGTTGAGCTGGAGTTCATTATTGAGCTTACACGTTAACGTCACAGTCATCTGAAGAACGAACCCAAACCTTGTTGTTTTTATTAATTGTATTACAAATTGATATCAAATAAACAGTAAGCATTGGTAACACAATTTCCAGTTACAGTAAAATAAAAAGGACCCTGACTCGGACAATACACAATCCAACATGTTCAACAGAAGAGAATCAGTTATATTGTTTGTACACATGGTACTTTACATATATATATATATCTGTTTGTTTAAGGTGTCCAGGTGATGCAGACAGGCTGGACCAGAGAGTGAGAGACAGAACTGGACTCCTCACAGCAGTGAACTTCAGCTCAGGTACAAAGACTCTTTTTTCATACTGTACAAAGAATCAAGAAAGATATTGGTTTAAATGAATGAAGTATTGACTTGAATACACTGATATACATTCCATTAAACAATACTAAATACTAGATCACCTACACATCAGTGAAGTTGAGGTTTTTTCAATGCAAAAGGTTACATTTAGATGTTAACAAGCAATATGACTTTGTCAGCTTTCTAATTTAATGTATTGAAGGCAAAGATATTTAACACATAGTGAGAACTACTACTATTTATCTCTCAATATTGTCTGTAAAAAACGTGGTAAAAGTTATTCATTCAGTGAGACAACAGAGCAAGCTTCTACAGTTGCACTACGTTTTGTAACAGTTCAATATTATTTTGATAACATATATTTCAATGTTGATGAACTTCATACTGTTCATTCATAATCTGATTACAATTAAAAAATAATTATATCAACAGCCCCTAAACACAAACACACCTCTTTCATAAATAACACACTTGTTCTGCAATAATGTTTTATGTTTCCTGTAATTTTTGTTAGGGAAGGACATGCCTGAAAGACACGACATCTTCTCCTTCTCTGAGGGTCAAGAAGAACATCCAAGAGGAACATTAAAAGCTGATGTTATGAGATTTTAAGACCAGTACAGGACATTCACCAAGAAACTACTTTTATTGTGAAAAAAAAGATCTGCACACCGAATATTTTTGTAGTCTATCAGGACCATCATTTGTTTGTGACGCTGCCTGCACCTCAGAGAAGGGGTGGTTATAGTCAGGCTTATAAAGTGTGGCGAAAAACATAGTCAGCTGATGGGATGCATCTATTTCCACATCTACACTCCATCAGCTGATTATTTCTATTTGCCTCACTTTATGAGCTTCACATCACTTGTGCCTTGTACCGCAGAGTTTGCAACGTCACAAATAAATGGGGCCAATCTTCAGTCAGATGTGAATGTGTAATCTAACATTTTCAGTAAGAATAATGGACAAAAGGAGTGCAAATACAAATACAATTTATTGAAATGTGAACCAAAAGTTAATCAAACATGTTTTAAATAAAAAGCACATATGGACAGAAGGTGTAAACCTATTAAATGTATAAGTAAACACATTTAGTCAAATAAAGTGACAGACTAGGCCTGTGCAGTTGGTATCAGCTATTCCCAGCATGGGCTCCTCCATCAGGCCTGGTCCTCCTCGCTGAGGAAAGACCCCCAGTCCTCTCCAAACCAACAGACAGGACGTCCATCACACGGAGGTTTCTCCCTGAAGTCTCTGCTGCTCTCTGGACACCATGCTGTATCAATCCGTCCACACTGAATATGAGAGGGGGGAAAATGAAAATAATAAATGCTTTAGACAATAAGAAATATAAAGTTGACTGTTGAGTTGCTCAGTTTTTTTAGATTGTCAATACTATTACTGTATAACTAATATCTCAGGTTAAGAGGCACCTTCAAATAAAGATTGGTCTTTAAATACATGTTGTCTTTTGAATTGTTTGTCTAAAGTCAAGGATCTAGAACTGGTACTTGTAGTTTTAATGATACAGTCTGGTTATTATGCTGTTTGGAGGAGGCATCACAGGTAAGAGCACTAACTAGCTTCCATCACATGTACCTTAGCTTGACTTAAATGTATTAAACGTATAGTTCAGTGATGGCAAAATATAAATAACTAATGTCATGCAAACATATTAATATTTGCTTGATTCCAGAGTTGAATTTAGCACAATTGCATACAAACGTTAAGGGATTTTAAGATTCTGAAGTCTTCGTTCTAAATAGAAAATAGCATGGATAATTTACAAAGGCTTTAAAAACACAGCAGGAGCCCAAGACAATTATAAAACTTGTCATTATTTCAGTACAGTTCAATCGGTTTTATTTTCATAAACGATTATCAACCGTTAGTGCCAAAGCAGTAGGCTATAATATATTAATTACTGCTGTAGACTGCAACCACTACTTGTTTAGCTAGCATAAACTCAACAAAGCTAGCGTTAGCTGGCTGACTGACGTTATTTTGCCGCTAAACTGCACGATATAAAACGGTGGTCTTCAAAGCGGATTTAATCCTCAATCACAATAATAATATTCAAAGTAATACTGGGCAAGTAATGGGCAACATTTACCGTTGATTGATGCGCCATGTCAGCGGACTGGTAGCGACACGAACCGTTAGCCCCGCAGTCATCCGGTTCGACGTGACTGACCCGAGCCTCGTTGTTCTGATAGCTCCGCCCCTTCGCTCCAACCCCCCTCCCTCCCCCACATCTACAGGTGAAAATTACTTTTGCAACACATTTATCGCAAGAAGTGTAGCAAAAGTCAAGACCGCAGATTCGTCGATTTATACCGCCACAGAGCAGATTCGTCAAGTTGTAATGACTGATTTGAGAGGTTGTAATAAATAAAGTTGCAGTTGTAATGGAAAATATATTTTAAAAATATGTATTTTTCTGCAAGTGAACATTTCATCACTAAGTTCATTTTTTTTCTACAAGCTACAAAACTTTTTTTTTTCTTCTGTGACTTCAAATTTGGTTCACAGTTACGTGGATATTTTATACAAGTGTACATTTGGTTCACAGTTACGTGGATATTTTTATACAAGTGTAAATGTATGCACAGTCACACAAGTTCTGATTTTTTTTCTGCAAGTGCTCACATCAGGTTTTACACACTCGCATTTTGCACCATATCTACCTTCATAGTTAGCAGTCTTTTGGGTGCATCAAATTTGTAAAAGAAATCAAGAATACACTTGGTCACCTCATCTGCTGTTTTATTTTTAAGTGGGTATGCCTCTGCCCATTTGGTGAAATAATCAACCATTACACAAATGTATTGATTGCCACCATCGGTTACTGTGAGTTTACCCACTAGGTCCATGCCAACCAGCTCCAGAGGCTCTGTTACCTGAGAAGAAGAAAATACACATGAGCATTGCAGTACATTACTGTTGGCATGTTTGAAAGCTGAAACTGTCTGCAAATGTGTCCTGTACTTCAATAGGAGTGTACTCTTTCTTCTCCTTGATAGTGGCCCTCTTTGACTGGCACTGGGGACACTGAGCAATCTGAACAAAAAAACACACTATACACTTTTCTGTGTTGCACTTTTGTACCATAATGTGTAATTTACCTCATTATTTTGAACTCACCCACTTGCGGATGTCCTCCGTCATGCCAGGCCAATAGAACCGCTGAATGACGGCCTGATGAGTTTTCTCCATTCCAGCGTGTCCACCAGTTAGGCTGCAGTGGAACTCTATGAAGAGCTCGTTGGCTTCTTCACTTGATAAGACCACTTTTGCAAGGTGCTCACTCCTGTTTTTTTTCCTCCTGCATATGTAGTGCAGGTCTCCGTCTGGTATTGAAATGTCATAATTATACATGTATTAACAGTGTTATCAAAGCAGATGATGTTCTGAAGAGCACATGTCTGA